AACTGCCCTCACAGCATTGCTCTGGGATCATTTTTTTCTTCCAGAAGGGCAGAGCAGATCTCCCCTTGCCTTGCAGGTGTGGAGCAGAGAATCAGGGCCAGGCCACTGCCCCCCCAGCAGCAGGACACCCCCTCACACCACCACCCCGGTGCCCGGTCCTGATGGAGCACCACCTCATATAAACACCCACGTCATTAATCTTCAGATCCCCTGGCTCCATGGAGCTATATTTAAATTGACATTGATGAAAAAGCAGAACCTTCCTCAGGTTTCTTTGAGGTGCTTCACAAAAAGGGGATTTAGGGTGTTTGTACTGGAAACTCACCTTAAAGGGGGTTTTGTTAAGGAAACCATCATAATGTTTGCTGATTACTTGTGACCTAATTAGCCTTTAAACATGGGAAGGACCCACTTTTCCAGCCTGCAGTTTATGCAATTTTACTTCATTCACAGGGAAAACATGCACTGCTTTACCTACACTGGTAATTCAGATGGTGGAGCTCCCTAGCACGGATGCTTTTCTGCCAGAATAAACGTGTTATGCCAATACAACTTATTTATACACAGAAAAGGGAATAAACCTCGGGTGTATTAGCTACAAATATACTTTGCTAGCCCCAGAATTACACAGCACTGGCAAAAGACCCTCACTTGGGGGGAGCATCTTTTCTGGCAGCTTTGGGGTGCTGCAGAGCAGGATCATTCCCACAGGCAGAACAGGGCTCTGAGGGGAAATTACAGCGCTGAAAAAAGTCACCCAGATCTTCCCCAAGGCTGCTTTGGACACCTCTGAGTGTCTAGGCTGACCAGCTCTGCTGCTGCAGTGTTGTGGACGTGGGTATCGCCAGTCACAGTCTGACAGCACCCACACGGGTTCATTACAGCTGTAAAAGGTAATTAGAATGTGAAACAATTATGCAGCACTAACCTAAATTATCCACCTGTGTGCAGGTGAGGCCCAGTGTAATTTCCTTCTGGCCGTTCACCAGCCAACAAGGTTTATTGATGCTGATCGAGGAGAGCCACAAAATCCTGTTTTAAAATGCCGGGGGATATTTTCAAGCACCTTTGGAAGGGCTGTCACTGACGGCTGGCGGTACTTGTTTTGGCTTTTCAAACAGAATCACAGAATCACCGGATTATTTGGGCTGGAAGGGACATTAAAGATAATTTCATTCCACCCCCCGGCCGTGGGCAGGGACTACCCGTCCATTCGCGTGTAACTCACTGGGACCCACCTGCTCCCGGCTCCGAGCTGCTGTCACCGAGGTGTGACGCCACACCAGCCAGCCCAGCACCTGGACAAGCTGCGGGAAAGTTAAACTCCGACAGAAAACAATAAACGAAACCGTCAAAAGATAAAATAATCTAAATATGTAATTTTTGCAGTGAAAAAAAATTTCCAAACAACAACAAAAACAAACCAAGCAATAGAAAAAAATCCCACTAGTCAGGTAAATTGTCAGGTAAGTCTAACAGGCTTCTCCTCTGCCCGGGAGGACTCTGGGTTCCATTGGGGGCGGGAGGGCTCCTCGGCGCGGCTCCCTCCGGCTCCGGTGATGGCAACACCATCACCAGGCTCCTTCCGAAGCGAAAGGTGGTCATTGAAGTCGTTTCCAAGACGCTCCTGGGCAAG